ATGTCATCTCTCTTGTCATACAGTCTTTGGACGGTTTTGGTCACACTCAACCTTTATGCATACAAGATGTAGATATGGAACAGATGAGGCGATTTAACTGGTAAGAAATGAAACACAGTGTACATAAAGGTGCATATGCAGGCGATTTCATATAAATAAAACAAATGCACAAGGGACATTTTGACTCTTTTAAATCGAGCTACGCACTAGATAAACACGAATTGCTGAAGTAATTGTAGCCATACCCAACTGATCAATATCATTTTCTAAACTTCTCTGCTGCCTTAAGTTTTTGCTTGGCGTATTTAGAGTAGGACATGTCTGTGCAACATTATCAGTTTGACGGCAAATATGGACGTAATGAACAAGAATAAACCTACAGCATAATGTTAAATGGCATCTCGATGTTACTCTGGGCCATGTGTTCAATGTTCAAAACTTCAAACCTTTCATAAGCCAATCCGTTATATTCAGTTTGCTCGAAACTACCTTAAGAACACTTTGTTTTGACAAACAGTTTCAGCGGATTTGACGTAATAATTTCTGTAACTGGAAGTGTCATTGTGCTGAGATAAACATGTAAAAGAAACCAGCTGAACCGATGGGGACACTAATAATTTTCATCTTCATAGAGGCTTTATGTCCAATTCACCTTTGTTCACGTGTATATCTTTCCGGCAAGCTGAAATGTTTACATTGGAAGGTTTTCTATGTCTAATGTTGAATGTCTAATGTCATACTATGTAAAGGTGATCGAATATCAGATGTCATGCAATATAAAGGTGATTGACTGTATGATGTCATACCACGTAATGGTGATCGAATGCATAGTGTCATACCATGTAAAGGTGATCGAATGTTTGATGCCATACAATGTAGAGCTGATTTAATGTATAATGTTACACTATCATATGTAAAGGTGATCGAATTTGTGATGTCCTACCACGTAAAGGTGATCGAATGTATAATGTTATACTATGTAGAGGTGATCGAATGCATAATGTCATACTGTAAGAGGTGATCGAATGTTTAAAGTCATACTATGGGGTGGTGATCGAATTTATAATGTTATACTATGTGGAGGTGATCAATAGCTGATGTCATACTATGTTGAGGTGATCGAATATCTAATTTCATACTATGAGACATTATCGAATATCTAATATCATACCGTAAGAGGTGATCGAATGTTTAATGTCATAATAGGGGGTGGTGATCGAATGTATGTCATACTATGTGGAGGTGATCGAATGTCGAATGTCATACTATGAGACATTATCGAATATCTAATATCATACTGTAAGAGGTGATCGAATGTTTAATGTCATAATAGGGGGTGGTGATCGAATGTATAATGTTATACTATGTGGAGGTGATCGATAGCTGATGTCATACTATGTGGAGGTGATCGAATGTCTTATTTCATACCATGAGAGGGGATCGAATGTAAAATGTCATATTATATGGAGGTGATCGAATGTCTAATATACTATGAGACATTATCGAATATTTAGTATCATACTGTAAGAGGTGATCGAATGTATAATGTCATATTATGAGACATTATCGAATATCTAATATCATACTGTAAGAGGTGATCGAATGTATGATGTTATAATATGGGGTGGTGATCGAATGTATGTCATACTATGTGGAGGTGATCGAAAGTCTAATGTCATACTATGAGACATTATCGAACATCTAATATCATACTGTAAAAGGTGATCAAATGTATAATGTCATGTGTTGTGATTTAATGTATAATGTCCTACTATTGGGTTGTGATCGAATGAATAATGTCATACTATGTGTTGGTGATCGAATGTCGAATGTCATTACCATATAAAGGTGATCGAATTTCGAATGTTATACAATGTAGAGGTGATCGAATGTCAAACTATGTCAAGGTTATCGAATGCCTTATGCCATATCATGTAAAGGCGATCGAATGTCAAATTTTGTAAAACGATCATAACGTGTGTTCACAACCACGATGTGACAACTACAGGTCACCACCAATCATAAGGCTGTATGTTGACTAATACATGCCACCAATCATAAGGCTGTATGTTGATTAATACATGCCATCAATCATAAGGCCGTATGGTTATTAATACATGCCACCAATCATAAGGCAGTATGTTGATTAATACATGCCACAAATCATAAGGCCGTATGGTTATTAATACATGCCACCAATCATAAGGCAGTATGTTGATTAATGCATGCCACCAACATAAGACTGTATGTTGATTAATACATGCCACAAATCATAAGGCCGTATGGTTATTAATACATGCAACCAATCATAAGGCAGTATGTTGACTAATACATGCCACCAATCATAAGAGTGTATGTTGATTGATACATGCCACAAATCATAAGGCCGTATGGTTATTAATACATGCCACCAATCATAAGACCATGTTTATTAATACATGTCACTATTCATAAGGTTGCATGTTGATTAATATATGCCACTATTCATAAGGCGGTATGTTGATTAATACATGCCACCAATCATAAGACTGTTGATTAATACATGCCACTAATCATAAGACTGTTGATTAATACATGCCACCAATCATAAGACTGTGTGAATAACAGCCGAACATAAATGATATATCCTTGATTAGACAGGAGACATGGAGCCAACTCTGTCTATTCCGATGTCATTAATGCAAAGCCTCTCTGGACCGGTCGCAACATTCAATCTATCCATGACATTTAGACCAGTACTCCCAGACAGGCTATATCATTGTGGATATTATGTGTGTCAGTGCCAAACAGTCGACATGGCGACTTTGCAAGCTGTGACGCTCATGTCAGCACAATCTACACAGATAACATTGCTGTCAGTGTCGATGTCCCGGGTGATGAAATCAATGCCAGTTCCAATTAGACAGGGGTTCGTATTGGTTCCAGCATGACACTGATGTCAGTCCTGACCCCACAGTCGACATGCAGACTCCAGTACAGTCTATATCGATGGCATTCATGTTAAACAGCGGATGTGCATATTCCTTTAATGCCAGTATTTATATATGCAGACGTGACTGTCTTTAGTACTTACTAGACAACAAGTGTGGCTATCTCTTGTTACTCGACAGTAGATGTCCATGCCGCTGGTTACTTGACAGAAGACGTGCAATTCACTTTTTACCCCACGGTAGACTTGCATGTCACTTGTTGCTCGACAGTAGAGGTGCAATTCACTTGTTACTTGACAGAAGACGTGCAATTCACTTTTTACCCCACGGTAGACTTGCATGTCACTTGTTGCTCGACAGTAGAGGTGCAATTCACTTGTTACTCGACAGAAGACGTGTATGCTACTCGTTACTCGACGTAAGACGTGCAATTCACTTGTACTGGACAGTAGACGTGTATGCCACTCGTTACTCGACAGAAGACGTGCAGTTCACTTGTTACTAGACAAAAGACGTAATTCACTTGTTACTCGACAGTAGACTGCAGTTCACTTGTTACTCGACAGTATACGTGCAATTTAATTGTTACTCGACAGTAGACTGCAATTCACTTGTTACTCGACAGAAGACGTGTATGCCACTCGTTACTCGACAGTAGACGTGCAATTCACTTGTTACTCGACAGTAGATGTGCAATTCACTTGTTACTCGACAGTATACGAGCAATTCATTTGTTACTCGACAGTAGACGAGCAATTCAGTTGTTACTCGACAGTAGACGTGCACGTCACCTGTTACTCGATTGTCGACGTCCATGTCAATTGTCATTTTCCATGGGCCACAATGTCCACTTGCCAATAACAAAGCCTAGTTTCTACCCTTGCCATTTTACGCCTTCTTTGCTTGGCTCGACGTGGCGCCACCCCGTTTAGAACATGAGTTGTGTTCCTTGTAGTTAAAACGCGATATCCAATCAGATCGCTGTTATTATTTCGAATTGCTTTTTAAGTAAGACGACTTCCAAAGCAGACGACCTGTTCGATCAGATTATGAAAAGATTTGAGATTTCATGCCTAAAAGAGAAACAAAATGACAGATTACAGTTAAGTATTACTGTCCCATTTCGCTCTTACAACAACAGGGCATACAGACCAGTGAGACTGCACAGTATCAAGTGACACTTCACACAACATGAAACGCTTTGCGGGGGTCGTCTCAAATAAGTATTGCATTTCAGTTACTGTGATAGGCGTTCGGTCGTTTGAATTAAACTAACAATGAAGTTTGCAGTCAGATATGTGATTGAAACCTTTAAACGACCACGAACATATTTGTCTTAGCTTAACTTTTGGAATAATATCAGCACAGGCGGTGGCGGTGGCGGTTTCCGGAACGCGGATGTTGATTTTGTCAAACATTCTCAATATGTGCGATAATACACTCATATTTTAGCACAGAAAAGTAGGTTTGACATGGCAAGGTAGGAAACGAAACTTTGTTATCGGTTAGTGGCCACGCTTGCCTCGGGAAGATAGTCACTTTTTTACACGACTGTAGACTTGCATGTTACTTGTTGCTGGACACTTGACGTGTATGCCGCTTGATACCCGACAGAAGACGAGTATGTTACTTGTTACTCGACAGTAGCCATACATGTTACTTGCACATATATAGGCTGGGGTGTTATGACAGACTGACTACAGCATTGACAAGACAAGCAACACAGAAGGTCGTATGGTGCAATATCCCCTCATGGGCTGGCTTTCCAATAACGCTCTATGCCTGATGCCTGAGTACCACATGTTTTAATATCCGAGGCATGAGAGGAAGTGCAATATGCAGAGAGGACTTCCATTTTCTAATTAAAGTATTCATTTCCTCCATTCTGTTTTGTGTGTGATCAGGAAGGTTCAGCCTGTTCGAAAGAACAGCCAGACAGTCTCGTCGCTGGATGCATTGTCACTAATACTCTGTCATGATTCAGCTTTTAACCTTTCTCAGTGTCTGGAGGGAATTTAGTCATGTATGCCTCTAAAATAGAATAATACTCAATATCACAGAAAGGTTAAATGATGTCAACACTAATTCATATTTATTTCTGCGAGTGTAAAGAAATGATAACACAACTGTGTCCTTATGTACAAAATGTCAATTTACAGGAAATACTGATAATATGGTATATACACGTTCATATTTGACTAACTGGAATTATAATATTTTGACAAATGTAAATGTCAACAGCGTCTTCGAACAAATCCGATTCAACCTGCTGACATACTCTGAAATGTATTTCTTCACAACCAGTCATTCCATATACTCTGCCTGTTTTAACGCCACTGGGTTGTTCCCTTGCCAGCAACAAGTATAGTCTGATGAAAACAAGCCTCCACAGTGAGACTGTTGTCTCTGAGGCCAAGTCTGACTGTATGATTGATTGGCCAGGCTCTGCCTAGAATCCCTCGTCTCCAACCCTCTGTAGCCGTTCCAGGAAGCAATATAACATGATTAAAACGCACAGAATGGACATCAGTGGCGCTAAACTGTACACGTATGGGGCTTTGGCAACAAAAACATCCATACAAATGGGATTAGTCCCATTAAAACTGTTTTCTCATTTGAATAAGATTGTGTGATTAATTTCCAGGATCTCCAAGCGCTTCTTCTTTGGTTAATCTTAACCTAAGGATTTCTGGGGCATCCTTCACCGAAAGCCATCACATCCATCCCACTCAAGCGGTTAGACACTCGCTGATTGGATAGTTTGAAGTTCAGGAATATCGTCAAAGTTTTATCACTATGGAAACCTATAGGAGACTGTCTTCTTCACCAGATTGTTCATCGGAAGAGCGCCCGGGGCCATTATTTTCCCCACCTGAAAGGTCGATTAACAATATAAAAGATAGGGCTTCCTCTTACCACAATCTATTGAGTTTAAACGTCGCATTTAGTCTTAATATATCTAATAATGCCTCGACAAATAATACTCAAGAAAGATCAGAACCAACAAGTTTTTAGAAGAATGAAACTCCTATAGCTAGATCTGGAAAACGCATTGTTATCGCTCCTGAGGACTTCCTCGCTGTGACATATGAGGTGAGGTGACATTGGGTTTAACGTCGCGTCCAAGATAATTGCACTTATATAGCGACGTCTCTGACATATGAGCTTAGCATTCGATTGTAAACTGTAACTTATAGTACATGGGCCTTGCATCAAACTGAACATTTCCCCTACATAATCTGATTAATAAGACACCTCCTGGAACTACTTGCCTACGTCGCTGTCTGAGTCCTCTTCATCCGAGTCGTCGCTGCCGTTGCCATCCTCCATGTCGTCGTCGTCGTCGTTACTCCAACATGTCTTACGTTGTTCCACTGGTTTATACGTGATTGTCTTCGTCCGACCTTCACCTAGGAGTAAAATGAAAAATAATAATGTCTTTTTGTTTTTCAGGGAAGTTATGTATTATTTTTTCAGAAATTTCATTTACTCAAATACGGTAATGAACTCATGCTTCCCTCAATATGTACATTTGTCAAATTACGGCAAATGGATTAATACAGATTAAATTGGTTTTCGCCTCAACTCCTATACACTGACTGACACTCTCTTAGAGGAAGTAGCTCACCCAGCCTTCCAAGAGGGACTCAACTCCACACTCTAGCTACTATTTCCAGCCTTGATACTGAAATTTGTGTGAAACGGAGAAACATCGTCTCTGTGTAAATAAGGTTATTTTTAACTGTTATACAGATATGCATACATATATATTCTACAATTTGTGTTAGAAGGCAACAAGTGGGCGTGCAAGTCTTGCTAGGACTACCAATTGGTCGTGCCCAGTCCCCCTTTAAAAGAACCACACTCGACAAATCAATACCAAACAAAAAACTGTTTCCTAGGAAGTGAATATTCTGAAAAATATAACCCGGTTTGTATGGGATATGTATAAAACATCAGAAATAAGGTAGACACCCTATTGATTTCCTGCCAGGTCTGTAGCATATAAAGCTCCCGCGAGAACCGACAACGTCAAACAGCTAGGCTGACATTAATCACTAACACCATACACATATCATATATGTTTTTACACCAACCTCTTGGATTGATCTTAAACGACAAAAAAAAAATTCTTTCGGAAAATTGAAACACAAATCTGTCTCTCATACGAAAATGTGCAAGTAAGAGGAAAACCAAGACTACTGATTGGAATATTAAATCAGAGGCAGTTGAATAACAAGCATCCTGGGATTTGTCATGCGGATATTTGTTGGTCGGAAAATAGAAAATTTCTTTTGATGGTCCCTTTATAGTATTTAATTAGCCTTAAGGAAGCATTTGGTTCGTCAACAACATTAAAGGCATACACGGACTTCTGAGTTCTACACTTAATCGACATGCATACTTTCAAACATCTAGTAACCATAATATTCTTATTAATGTTATGCAGCAGCACCTGCATCTGGCACCGATCCTCCAAGAAGGGTGGAATCCACCAGTATCTTGTAATGTTATTACGACGAAGAGATACTCTTATCAAGACCTTGAGCCAGGTGACTGGGATATGTTTCATGGAAGGAAGGAACCTTCAAGACAGGAAGTAGAACCAGAACAATGAGAAAGAAGAAGGTTCTTCGCAGACTGAAATGGGGCAGCATCGGATGGCTTTTCGGTCAGAGTTTAATTCACGGGCAAAAATAGCAGCGCTGGCAAGAGAACGTGTATTGGAGAACGCGCTGGTTATACAGTGTTTGATGTTCTTCTAAAAGATTGTAAAGATTCGATTCCAGTGCTGGTGGATGTAAAGAAGATGTTGCAGCGTCAAGTTGACTGTCACATCCATTAATTCCCTCTGCTTGTGATGTGCATTGATTGAAGCTTTGAATGGTGTTTACTCGCCTTTCGCACGATCAGTGATTACGTCGCTATCGTTAACATGGAGTACGAGTCAATTATGCTAAATAACCGGTATGTACTTTTGATGTAAAAGCCCTTGAACACAATCATCTGTAATCTTTGAAATGGACATAATGACTACACGTTTTATTTCGTGTTACGCCAAATAGAGACAACGTCTTTTTATATTATATTTTTATGTTCTTCAAGACGTCAGCCAGTAGTTGCATTCAAGTCACGAGTTAAAAAGTGCTTCCAAAGGATTCGGTGTTAATTATCTTAAAAGAGAAACAACTGAAGTTGCAAAATGTAACCTTTGATGCCGACAGATTTGAAGCGTATTTTTTTACTCGAGACCGTCGGTTCAGTTTCCCTCACTAATAAAACAATCGTTGAATGCACTACATCACATATCAGATTCACATATTGAGAGAAACAACATATTGTAAATTGGTATCAGGAATATCTTGCTATAACTGTACATGTGTCAAGTCTGGATCCCCATTTGCATAAATTGATTGTGAAACTGAATTCACAGACAGTGATAACACTGTAAACATTCCAAGAATAGTGTATATTTACTCATGGAAAAAACTGTGATTAACGTTCGCATTTTTCAATACATGTTCATGAAGAGATCTCCCATACATTAGAGGTCGTGATTCACAATTTGAATGTTTGCGTGTTTTTTGGAGCATGATACGCATTCACGTGGTTTTTGTTATGTGAACAGCACACAATGATCGTTTAGCTAGCAGTTGCTCATAAACAATTGTTTAGCCGGAATTCACGCTTACACAATGCCACGGCTTGTTGAAAATCAACATCTACCCGCTGTGTTTATGCATCAAACAGGAATGGACAGTTTAATCTTCACCGAGACTTAATATCATCTCTTTGGAGACGTTATTTACAGCAGGGCAAAACTCATGACTTGCAACGGGCCGGTCGTCCACGTGAGACTTCACGTCAACAAGACAACCACATTCGGTTGGTGCGTCTCTATACCAAACTGCCTCATTAACAGTTCGAACAATTCTTGGATTGAGGCCAATTAGTGGCAGCACAATACGTAACCATCCCCGACGCAGCGCTACGCTCAATTCTGCTTCCACGATTTTGCTTCAGACACGACTGCCTTGTTAAAGACAGCATCTGAGGCTCAGAAGACAAGACTGGGACGGTATACTGTTCACGGGTTTCATCTTGACAGCTCTGATGGTCGTACAGGGGTCGACTGGCGTCTGGGAGGACGTTTTAGCAACGCGCGCATCTCCCAACTTCGTGAGTTTGGAGGTGGACGTGTCATAGCAAGGGGTGCCATCAAGACTCATGGGACAATCCAACTCATCATTCGTAATGGCAATTTGAATGACCTGCGCTACCGGGACGACATTGTTCGAGATCATGTTCTACCCTTTGTGCAAATACAGAGACGTTACCACACTTTGCAGTAGGATAATGTTGCACGTGTTGTAACCGACTGTTTGAGACATCATAACATTGCTGTACTGCCATGGTCGGTTGTTTCTCCATACCTTTCCCCATTAAAATATGCCTGGAATGAGATGGGACACCTACGATAGGACCGAAACCAGCCATTAACGACAGCTCACTTGGGATAATCTTTGGTTGTCTTTTGGAAACAACACCCGCAGGCTGTTTTCAATCACTTGGTGTCTTCAATGCAGCGCCGCTGCCTCGCCTTAATCAACTCAAATATTGGTCATACTCGATACTGACATTGTAAATGGAGTTGTGACACAAACGCTCTTGTAGGACATGTCGCTCTGTCTCCTGTGGGCTGTGTTAATGACGTTATGATAAAACATTGATCAGACGAACGACCAAATATCATGCTGTTATTTTTAATAACATAACATTTACACCCCTTTATATGAAGCACAGTTTCTTTATTGCGCTAGTATATACGGTAAATAGGTCATGAGTTCTGAGATATTTTCCTAAATAGTTTATGTCAATACACAATAAGAACGGTTCTGAAACCGGTATTTTATCTTGGCTCTGGCATTGATGGAAAAAACATCTAAAACTCCCCGCAGCCTTATATTTGCTCTTAATTGTCATGTGATAGGGTGTTGAGCAGCGAAGCATGTGACATGTGATGTTATTCCCCCTCTACTGGAAGATATCAGTCCGGCCTGCCTGAGGCAACTCATTACACGGCGGATTGCGCGTGCTATTTTATGCTGCTTCGTCCTCATCACATCTGATTAGAACCACTCTAAACCCTCAAGTATGGGTGGTATTTTAAATGTTACAGAAACCCTTCAAATAGTTATTAAAAGTAGGATGCTTTATACATCATTGGCATACATAAAAACGTTATTTTCCTACTATATTTCATTCCAAAAATGATTAAGGGTTTGTTTGAGAGCTGATTATCGTAATAATGGAAATCATTAAGTAAAAATAATGTGAATTAGTTCGGATTCACATTAAGGGTTCATTCCGACTTATTTCATAACACATATCAATACCGATTATGATAAGGATATATCATTATCAAGACAATTTCATAGCAGCCCAAATATTACGTGCGTTTTGTTCTAATCTATGCCACATGATGTTTGGTTGGGATACTAGTTTATTTATTTCTGTTACAAAGATCAAAGTACAAATTTTAAAGCTCGTGAGCTTTATGGTTATTTTCAATGGAAGATAAGTTTCGCGAGGTCGATCGCAATATTGATCAACATCCATACATCACCTCCAAGCAATCGACCACATTCGAATTCAGTTTCCATTTTGCAACTGAGTTTTCCCTGTGAAACTTTGAGTTGTATGGTATAACTAATTCTAATAGATGGAAACTAAATGTGTCTTGCATGACCATTCTTATTCACCATTTCATATTGACAGTCAGATACATGATGTCTTTATCATATTCAAAACACATTCGTGAATGTGTTTGTTGTATATTTTCCTATTTCTTTCTAAGGCATCGACAGTGCACCTTTATCATATTGGCGATTGAATTACAAGATGAAAATTGTTGCCTGGCCGTCTTTTAGTGACACCAACGATATTACCTATTACTAGACCTTACCACTGTCACTGTTATGCTGTAACAAGTATTATGTTCGCGTGGCTTTAGGCAAACTCACTCACTTATTCAAGCTATGTCTTCGGTGAAATGCAATTAACCATCACGCGATCCCTTAAAACTACGTTAGGGCATACGAGGTAATATCTCCCCTACTCTTCATGCATCAATACCGCATTGTGCTGCAGCTGTTTGTTACTAATGGCAACTGCAAATTAGCTAATATTGTCTGAAAGCAGAGTGAAATATCTCTGTCCTTAGCGTACACGGTTCTGTTATGAAGGAACTGGAACAATACCTACAAGATGCTCATTGACAAATAATCAATGATGGCACGGGCAGGTTTAATGTAAGAACTGTTCTTGTTTGTACTCACGATTGCATGTCTGAGAATTTACTTACATTGATTTGGTATTGATTCAGGTTTGTGTGCGTATTCTTTCTTGG